CTCTTCAGAGCCCATAAGATGGCGGGAACTTAAAAGTTTCACCTCACGTGTTTTATAAATGTGTCAAGATGATCGCGTGTCACGTGGCAATTAATAATCTTGATTGAAGTAATTGTCGATGATGTTGTACAAGAGTCAAAGTCATACACAGTCTGACAGTCCTAGACAAAGGTGGCAGCTGTTGCAGAGCACCTGCTTGTGTCACCACCTTTCAAGTAACAGCCTAAGTGCAAGGACTTATTCATTCATATCGTTCCACGAGGAACACCGCTTTCTTGTGGACGTGGTGGTTCACAGGCAGCCGATTGGAAATTTTAACCGGACGTCCTCGACCTCCGACAGTAATTTTGCATGCGGATTCGAAGAAGGAAGGGAGCTTAGCAACCGATAGCTTCAATTTCTGCTAGGCTAATTTGGAAAGGAATAGGGGGAGAAACAGGAAGCTTGGACTTTGATGTTTCCAACTTACTCGAATCTCCATATTATTGAAATTTAAATATTTCTTCATTTATAATATAAAAAGAAAGTGTACATACCAGCAATTATGCTAATAGCCTCAAATTTTCTTTTCTTTCTAAGAGTTAATTCCATGTTCCTGCTCATTTTTCTTTATTTTCTTATTCCGTCATTTGGACAGCCTGTGTCTTGACCGTTAAGTCAGGAAATTTCAATTACCCTTTTGACCAACAGGAAGTGAGAAACACCGAGGTAAGAGGATAGAAAGATATAAAATCCAACAAGATCCAATAGGATGTTAATATCCACCCTTCCTTTTCCTGTGTCAACCTTGTTCCTCCCCTCTTTCTCTCTTGTTTCAACTTACATTCTGCCCTCTCGCGTGTTCCTTTCGAATTTCCTTCCATCTTTTACCGCGTTCGTCCCCTCTGTTTCCTCTCGCCCTGTCGCTGGTGTTGCCGTTCTAAATTGATTAACAAGTGTCGCAGTCGAGTCGTTTCGTTTGTCCCTCGTTTTCTTTCACCGCGACTGTGTCACGTGTTCGCTGCAATCGTCACGATTTTATCAACCATTCTGTATACTTGTCCACGTGCCTTTCTTCGCTTTTATCATTTCCGTATCTTGTTGCCCCTTGTATTGTTCCATGCTACTTCCGTTTCCTTTCTTCACGCTTTTTTCCTCGATTTTAAGAGGTTCCGTTCAAACACCGAAGGTGCCTAAGTTTGTATTTCGAAATTAGATGCTACTGCTCGGTTCCTTACGCTGTTTGATCAACCATTTATAATCTTAAAATCACTCGATCGTATCTACGGATGAACGATCTCGTCTGCTATCACTTTTTCGCAATCACCATCAATAAAAACGTTAGATGTCACGTCGCGGTAAATATTCATGAACCCGTAGAGCGGAAACTATAATTTATTCGAGATGCCTCGGAGAGTGGCCGAAGCTAGTCGCGAAGAGATCGCCACCCCACCTCTCAGGGTTAACAAACATTACAGAGACTGATCTTTCCTATCTACACGACTCGACTATCTCCCGGCATGTATGATTTCTTTTTTTTCTCTTCTTCCTCTTTCTCTGTATATGTATGTGCATATTTTTCGCGAATCGTGAGAATTTCGAAGAAGCCCCTCTGCGCGTTCAGACACGTGTCTCGGGATTTAAACTCAAGGATGCCGCGACCGTTAGAACTTCCACGAAGGCGAAAGCCTTTACGTAACACAGAAAGGAGAAAAAGAAACGCTTACCGATCGTGCTGTTCAAACGCTTATTTGCGATTCCCAGACCTATTTCTATCCCGTTTTTTCGCACCATTACGTGTGAATAGAAAAGGAATTCCTCGTGAAAGTTGAATGAAGAAACATGTAAGAAAATTTACTATATCTTTACGTTCGCTACTTTTCTTCTTTCCTTGCAAAATCATCAGTAGTTATAGAATCAATTACTTCGGTTAGGTTATGTCGGTACACGCGTGACGAAGATCAAGTGCGCGTGATTCGCGCCATATCTTTGTTTTCACTTTCAAATTTGAATGGAACAGCAGAATAGCGGAGGGTCGTTGAATTCCAAGCACGTTCCACCTTCACTTCGGACTTTGGATCGGTCATACCGATCGGAAAGTGAAAAGGGAAATGGACGAAAACACCGTCAACGCATTCCATAGATTTCTAGCAAGAATTTTATTGAAAACAGGAAATAATTATTTGTACATTCATTCCATTATAATAGTATGATATAACAAGTTTTAGCATTTAGATAGTCTTTTAACGAGTTACTATCTCCGAAGAATTTTAACACCTTTATGGGTTCTGTCAATTTACGGATTTCACTGTGGTTGCTAAGTAACCACTGCTTCCTCTTGTAGGAGAGATGGCATCCTTGAGAACTAAACGCCTTGTCTCGTGTCGATGAACTTTCCTACTCGTTGCATTTGCTTTCGCGAATGAAATTTTAATAGCATCGATGGTTAATCGATCCGCAATTTTGTGTAAGAAGTAATTAGACCAAATTGGCAATCTGTACATTCTTGAAATCTTCCTCGTCTCGTAGGTTAGGTTGTCCGCCTGTAAGTATTATTAGGTTAGGTTCTAGATGCACAAATGATCTATAACGATACCGTGCCTACAGTAAACGTGACATCCTCGAGTGAATTGTCTCACGTGCAATTTTATTGAACTGTCAGCAGAGGTATTTTTCCGCAATAGCTTCACGAATTCGGCGACGTTCGATTCCTTTTTTTCCTGTTCACGCGATCTGTGTACAGGAAGGAGACATACCAACTGAACGGCACACCCTTTTTCAGTTCCTGGCATTCCCTTCGAACCACAAGAGGCTTCATAACGTATTCCCAACTTGTCCACAGTGAGGAACGTAAACATACGTGCACCTGCGGAAAGCCAATGTGCCTCGCGAGACGAAGATTGCATTGCTAGGCTCTCCGCCAATTAGAAGCTCAATTACAGGGTGTATATCAGTTTGCGTTTTATACGAGTTTCACTTCGACGTTAAACAGCTGCAGAGAGATGGATACGCGCGTTTCCTGTAGCGTGCTTATGCCTGCCACGTGCGTGCCGCCAAATAAGACTAAACGAGGACTTTTATGATTATTGATCCGTGAACACGATGGAGATAAGGAAATCGAGGAATCGAGGTACCTTTTTAGTTTCGTAATGGAAAGAAAGAAAACAGGATGGTTCTCTTGATTAACACGTTCGAGACCCCTTGGACAGATCTGCTCGCGTGAAGTGACGGGACGGAATGATTCTGCATCCATAGGCACGTAATTGCATTTATTTTCTTTTAAATGGCGATAATGAGAGAAATAATCGGTAACTCTTTCATGCGAGTTGAGAACAGGATTTGTACACCGGAAGTGACCAGTTTACCCTTGAATCCATAATTAAACGCTTTTAATTTACTCATTAACCGCTTGGTCGCTTAATTTCAACGTCTTCCAGGTGGATTAAAAAGCAATGTTATGACGAAAATACGTATCTCGAACCGGGGGCGGAAAAATAATGGTAACGATAAGGTTCACCAGCCATCTGCGTTTCGCATATGTTTACTATACGTCGCGTACATGTATACTCGGCATATACCCTATCGTTCCATAACCTTCCATTGTACTTTATTACGGGACACACCATAGGGTCACCTTTTTCTCTCTCCTTCTCTCTGTACACGCAGCTGTTTGAAAGCGAAAGAGAAAGATAGAGAAGAAATTCGAGGATGAAAAAAGCTCTTAGAAACACGAAAAGGGAATCATCAAATTGGCTTAGGTGATTTCGAAGTCGTGCTACGTTTTCAAAGATAAAAGTTACGTTCTACATCCTCTTCGAGTACACAAAGACGCAGTGTTATCGATTAAAATTGGTAAATTTTAAAGAAAAGTAAAGAACGAAATACCAAGCATTCCTTTTCCATGAAATAAATCAACATTATACGGCTACTAAATAAAGTGTCCTTCTTTTTATTTGATACAGAAGAGAACATTCGAGGAAGTAGAACAGGGAACGTTTCATCAACAGTGACGAAACGTTGGTTCAATTTGAACAAAGTATCTCGAAACAGCGTTCAACTGTTCAAATAGTGAAACTGTGTACATCGGCTCGGTCCAACGATACGGTAGCGCATGTAGCGAGCTCTGGCGGAACAAAAGGGTTAAATGAGCGCCGTTTGACAGAGGCTCGCACGATATGGCCGCGTACACCGGAAACGCGGTCGTAGGCTAGTTGAAACAGTAAACATAACAAGCCAGGGGACCGTTGCGTTTCCACTCGTATGCGTGGTAAGCACGTACTTACTTGCATACCACGTCTCCAGTTGACTGGCTATCGCGGCAAATTACATCATCTCGCAAACATAGACTGCACAGTGGTTGGATCGTGAAACTGAGAGCGTTATTTAATTGCGCCTTGCGATTAACGATTATGTAACGCGAGCAGCATATCGTTCCGAAACTTTCTTCGTTTTCATTTGGAAAAGAAATATTTTTTAAAAAATCTGGGTTAGATTTCGTGTGAGAAAAAGAAAGAAAGAAATTGTTGGAGGGGGTGAGGAACGAATAACGATCATTCGCGGAGGAAGTGGACAGGAAATCCTTGAAAACGAAGAAGGAAGAAACCACTCGTAACCGCAAAAACTGACACTCGTCAGACTGTGTGGTCAAGATTACCTCTTGGACGGAGGTTTCGGGCAAGGGTGAGGAACAAAGGGGTGGCGAAGAGTAGGTTGATAGTTCTTCGACAAAGAAGAGGAAGAAACGCGTAGAACGGACGGTGGTCAGCCATCCGTGATTTCCCGTCCTTCGCTTTTGCGCAAAAAAAAAGAAATGCTATATCCGTTACAGGTTCGCACGTTTCATCTTCTTGCGAGTTTCGATTAGAAATTTGAAAATTCAAAGACACTCGGGAATTACAATATTTTCGCAAATTTTCTTACAAGTTATATATGCTCGTCTCTCGATTCGAACGAATGCAAATTCTCTGTTTTACGATTTCCAGCAAACCACTGAAGGACAACGTTCTCTTTGTCTTTTTTAGATCGCGGTCTGGGTACGATTCTAGTAGCGGCGGAGAGTCTGACAACGAGTATAGTGCCAGCGTCTGTCGTGGGACCGGTAATCAGTCTCAGAATGCAACCGCGTCGAACGCGAACAGTCATGGGCAGGGAAAGCACATAAACAAAGGAAGATGGACCAAAGAGGAGGTAATAAAACAATGAAGGTTGGCTATTTCCTTGCACCAACAAAAAGTTTCGAATCATTTCCATGAGAATCAAATGTCCTGATTAATTTTGAATACACTGAAATTTTTTTCTTAGGTAATTACCATGTATAATATAATATAAATTTTCAATTTTATCGGTCAAATGTCACGGTACTCTGATAAGAAGCACGCACCCCATCCTTCATCCCTTATTCTTGTCCAGCTGAACATTTCACAGAATGCACACGTGATCGCGTCATCATACCGTGACTTCGATCGGATGTAACTGGAGGGGAAGGGATGAGGAGGATACAATGAGCATGCGACTCAAAAAAAAAAAAGGTCCACCCTTCGTACCTTCCACAACGAGTTACGTCCGCGGGCAGATGCCCTCGACCACCCCATAGTCATATGCGGCTCTAGAGTATAGGGTGCGCCGTATGCTTTCCCGTGGGAAACATCACACAGCCCTATCGATCCCTTGCATTTGTTACCGTCTCCTTTCTCTCCCTTTCACTCAGATGTAATTGCCAAATGAGAGAAAAAAAAAATGTATACTTCGAACATTCGTGAAATATTACACCCCTTTTTCTAATTCCATCTGAATGCACATTCAATGTCGAAATTTGGAATTAAATTCAAAAGATCTAATCATAATTTTTGATACAGGAACGTGACAATATTATACCCTATTCTTCCATTTTGTTTCAAAATTAACCTCAAAAATGGTGTCTAAAGCGTCAACCGGAAGTGCCCTTTCCGACCAAATTGGTAACCTAAATTTTCAGTAATCGATCACTGTGTTCGTTCTCCAGTGGTCTCCTTACGAACGCACCTGCCATCGAACGGGGTCACGGTTGTCAGAGTGTGTTGATGCATCGCGTGTTGGTCCTTCGAGGGAGCAAGTCCCAGGAGTAACCTTTTGGTGGGAATTTGATTTCAGGACGCCCTGTTGAAGCAGCTAGTGAGCAACGCGGAACAACGGGGCACAGGGCTTCGATGGGACGCCATAGCTGGCCACTTCCCAGACCGAAGCGATGTGCAATGCCAGCAGAGATGGGCAAAGGTCGTGAATCCGGAGCTGGTCAAGGGACCTTGGACGAAAGAGGTATTCCAACGTTGTTCCTCCGAAAAATTATTTTATAAATTTTCAAGCAAATCAAATTATGGAAGTTTTGAAAGTCCTTGAAAATATTGGTAATTCTCGAAAAATAAAATTCCCGTTGAAATGAAACTCCTTCCATGTTCCTCGGTGAAACTCGTTTTGGCAAGAAGCTGAACCGCGTCCAGTCTGTCAGTGAAATTCCCCAAAGACCCGTTGCGCCTCGTTTCCCCGAAGTTCCGGCACGTTGAAAAAGCAGATTACTCGGATGAGATCGCGGGAGAAGGTTTGCTACCTTTTGGCGAAAGCTCCCTCTTTCTCTTTCTCTGTCTGCCGCGGTGCTGGAAGGTTTCGAGTTCATAACGGCACGGCCCTGCCCGGTGTACCGCCTACACACGTAGCCAGGGCAGAAAACGAACGGCCCACGGCCGACTCGGTGGGGTATGCAATAAGAAAATAAAGGAGTCTCGAGAGCCGCGGAGATGCTGCGTCGTGGTCGTGCCAATGCACTTGGCAACAGCCAAGGGCAAGTAAAGTCTTGGTGCACCGAACGTGTACACGTGTTCGTGTGCACCTGATTCGTGGTATGAGAGCGCAAAGCCCGATTCTCTTCTTCCATTCGCCGCGACGCGACCATCATCTCCTTCGTGTCCTCCTCTCTTTCTATCTTCTCTTCTCGTGTTCTCCAACATCCTCGAGACACTGCCCCGGCTTCGAGAAATTACTCGGCAACCAACGCGTCGCTTTTGGCACATCTCAAACTCTGCCTTCCGCTCACCTCGTGGACCAAGGAACTTCTATCCATCGAATAATAACTGTGTACCTCCGACTTGGAAGATAACAGGAGGATAGTTGAAACAATGAATATTTTCGACAACCACCGGGTACTTTCCTGGTGGATTTTAGCCTGGACCTTCTACCTGCTTCACAGAGACTAGGTACCAAGACCCTTTCCATTGTTTCTTCCTTTTTGACAGTGGACGAGCTGGTCTGTGTCTGCAGAGGATACTTTTATGACCCTCTTCTGTTTTAAGATCGTGTTGAACTTAACTAATAAGAAATTATGTATAAATCCCGAATTACCTTAGTTATAAGAGTAGCTGTATCCGCAAATACCTGCGGCCCTCCTGCTCACGATTGCCGATGTTTCGCAGGAAGACGAAAAAGTGGTAGAATTAGTGGAGCGATACGGGCCAAAGAAGTGGACGTTAATCGCGCGACATCTGAAGGGTCGCATCGGTAAGCAGTGTCGGGAACGATGGCACAATCACTTGAACCCAGGGATCAAGAAAACCGCGTGGACAGAGGCGGAGGATAGGATCATCGTGGAGGCTCATCGGAGGGTGGGGAACCAGTGGGCGAAAATAGCAAAGTTATTGCCAGGCAGGACCGACAATGCCATTAAGAACCATTGGAACAGCACAATGAGGAGAAAGTACGAGACCGATGAGGGGAGGACCACCACTGGTACCAGAGGTCTTTATCGTTTTTTAAAAAAGATCCATTAACCTTGTGGTGCTCGCTTTGATGACATTAGTTTTAGATTTTAGTTAAGGGTGTCATAAGTGTTCTCGGATGCGATCACCACAAGATTGAACGATTCCAGAAAATAATTAAAATCATTTGTAATGACACTGATACGTCCAACAGGGAGAGGTAGAAGGAAAACCGTAGAGTCCTCCGTCACCTCGAAGGACACGCTCTGTACAGAGGAGGACATCTCGGCTCGTCTGAAGGCAGCGTCCACCAGTAACAAAAATAGCTCTACGGTGACCAGTGTCCACACCATGGACATGGATCAGATAGACTGGGCCAGGGCTTGGGACAATCAGCAGAATGGTCAAACGTATCAGGGTCTCCTTGGTCTGAACGAACGTACACACGGCAACGAGTCCCGTATAGATTCTCCCTCGAAGAGAGGGGGCTCCGTTAGAATTAAGACTGAACCAATCTCGGCATTCACCAAGTAGGTCACTTGGACGAAAGATTAAAAACAAAAATCTCAAGTCGAAGAAGATCGCTAATCGATGCGTTTCTTTGTACAGGTACTTTGACATGCAAATGCAGGGTGAAGCGACCAGTTCGAAAAGCACGGAAATTAGGCTAATGCCTATGCCGGACCTGGAAGAGATTTCGAATAGCATGACGGAGAAAGAGAGGAGCAGTCCACCCCCTATTCTGCGTCGACGCAGAAATACTCAGACCCTTCAGCAGAGAACGGACACCCCCGACAGTGGAAGTCAGTCGGAGTATCTGATAATAAGTCAGCAACAAGAAGAGCAGCCTGCTGATAATACCCCGTCCACTCCTATTAAACAACTACCCTTCAGTCCGTCGCAGTTCTTGAATAGTCTGAGCCCCGAGACATCTTCCTGGCCACGGGCGAGCACCCCCAAGGGAAGCAGTCCTGGTCCACTCACTACACCGCAACCCTCTGGTCTTCGACGAAGTCAGAATGGTATAATTTCTATCATAAAGTTTCTCTTAGCTTTATATTGGAAATAATTATCTTCCAGAGAATTGAATATATTTAAATTATACTTTCCAGATGGCAACACGCCGAGGACACCAACGCCGTTCAAAAACGCCCTAGCGGAATTGGAACGGCGCAGCGGCGCGACTACTCAGTTACCTGCTACTCCAAGTCGTCTCGACGCTTTAACCGAGATCATCAAACAGGAAACCGACCGTGAAAGTCTAGCAGGTACTAGTACCATCCTTCAGGACTCTGGTTACGGCACGATACGACGACGGGGTAAGGAGAACAGCGCTCCTGGTGGAAAGAGGGCGCGCAAGGCTCTCTGTCAAGCCTGGGCGAACGCTTCTCAGGATAATTCCGAAATGAGTTTCGTTGTAGAAACACCCGTAAGTTCAGGATCGAGTCTTCTTTCTCTTCGTAAAAAAAAATTGGTTCGTTATACGTAATTTATTTCTTTATTTCTTTGCAGAGTAAAAGTTTGGACACATCGGTATTGTTTTCACCGGCATCCATGGCGTTGGAGGATAATTTCTTAACAGCAGGGACTAGTCCCGTGAAGGTAGAGAACAACCATGTCCATAATCATAATCAGATTCAATCTCAACCCGCCCTATCCTGGTTTTATTCCCGTACCAATCGCCTTTAGACACGCTAGCCGGCCTTTCTATTTTTTTTTTAACTTTCTTTCGTTTAACATTGTTTCTTTTTTACCCTTCCTGTGTTTAGTAATTTAATCATGTTGCCTGCCTCGTAACAACGTTACACGCCTCGTCGCTTCTGTTTCTATTTTCCTTTCTTTTAATTAATTTATGACTAAATGTTAAACACCATCGGTGATTTAATTATCACCGATTCTCTATCGTCGCCTGGTATCGTTCAATCCAAAGATTATTAGCGTCCCCCCTTCTTCCCCCTTTTCCCTTAAATTCTAAGTGTATGAAGTAACATAACTAACATTAACGACGTAAATATCGTTTTTGAATCTATTTATACAATTAACTTATTTTAACGACGCGTATGCTTTTCCTGTTAAATTATTTATGTATGTAATACGTTAATGCTTGAAGCTGTTAAGTGTAACTTATAATTCTGGAGAGAAATTCTGGAACGTTCCGCGTTGTTTAATTATTATTAGTCGCAGAGGTTAGTGGACTCGTTAAAGAAACCTATAAGATGTACTTAACTTATTATTTTGCGTGTATTATGTTTTTTTTTATTTATATATATTTTGATCGAATTTTGTCGTACTTCTATATACATTCGAAAGATTCGTACTGTTCGTTTCGAACGAAAATTCACGATGTTATTCTAATGTTGTGCATATACAGTCGATTTTGTTTCGTTTTTGTTTGCTTCGTTCTTTAACTTCAGCATTCGATTGATTTTCGGTGAGAATTAAATCATGTAAGTACTAGACTCGTCCTCATTTCTCTTCTTTTTTGTTGATGTTTTATTTTTATTTCTCTCTCTCGTGTAAATTATTCGTGTACATTGGTAATCAATTCAGGGACGAAGTGAACTGGAAGCATTCGTTTCTTTTTTTGTGAAACTTATTTGTTACTCTCAGAGATGGTAATAAGTACAGTCGTGTGCAACTTGAGCTTTTCTGAATCGGGAGAGAGGTAGCCTGCATTGCCCCTGGATGTACCTGAGTGTACACTCCGGTGCAAGGAAGGCTTCTTGAATTGTGAATATGGAAAGTCCAAACTGCACACGATCGTATAAGGTGCTTGAATATATTGTTGATACTTTCTAACCCCAGTGTCTATAATTTATTGTACAGGAATTGATCCTGTTAATCATGTACATATATAATGTAAAGAAGTTGAAAAGAAAACTTAAACCATAGATTATAAAAATTATACAGAAACCATTGATCGTACCAAATTGTTTACAGTCTCACTTTCGTCACCCTAGTATTTGTTCTTTTATTAATTCTAGTACTAAACGAAAGAAATGGATCACCGGTGATCCACGCGGTAATGGAACGTGGTAATTACTTCTACGTTCCAAGTTGTATATCCCTGTGACTTCTTCATCCTTCGAGTGGTTTCCAAATCATATCCCTCAATTATGTATATATATATACATAGAATTATACATAAAGATATAGCGTCTATTTATTATTATATTAATATATGTATACATATATATATTTTTTTTTTACAATAACGTTGAGTTGCCGCATGTTTACAACTAACTCGAACGTAAAAAGCCCTTGTACAGGCCTGGCCTAGCGTACCAAAGTTATATCCTTCCCATTCCTACCCTCATCCTTCGAAGTCGACAACATCCAAAGACAATTGTGCGGCGGCTCCAGTGGTCGCGAGACGCTTCTTTAAAAGACCAATATGCAGAAATGTAGAAAAAGGCCTAGTCATTCCACGAGAAGTGGTAGTTCGCTAGCATGCGTGTAAAACGGTACCCCAGTGAGAAAAAGACAACGCGTGAGGTCAAGAGCTCGTAATTTCTCTGTTCGAGTAAGCTCCCGTAACACCATTCTCTTTCTTTCTCTAACTTAAACCTTCTCTCTGTCTCCGTCTCTTCTATGCTCCCCTTTCGAATCTGTTTCGAATCTGTTCGAAAAGAGCGATGAAAATTTCGTATGCCTATTTTTGTTTAGACGCTTGTTTTTCCATAAGAACATTTATCTTGAATAGGCATTTTTCTAAATACGATTCTCTTAATCGCCGGCTGTAGCTAGTGTGTCTATCCTTTCCAGACCTCCCACGACTTTGCGTCCGTACAACGGAAGCCTAACGCCAAGAGAGCGATCACGTTCGACGCGTTCGACAGTCCCTGTTGTATCCTCAGCCCTTTGCCGCTCAGGCCAGTTAAACGTGCCAAGGTGAGTTTTTTTTTTTTATTTTTTTTCGATCGATAATTTAATTTCAATTTCGATCGATAATGCTTTCGTCATTTGTCTTTGATCTTAGGAAAATTCTAGGGGAACTTAAAGTGAATCTAGGGGAATTGACATAGAGTCGCAAAAAATTTATTATACCAGGTTCGAACGATACCAGTGCAAAATTATAATGATAAGTTGCTCGTCTGCATCATGCCTTAGAGATTCGATATTCCCGTGTCGAATTTCCGTTCGCATCATTTTAGGGTGGTTCAGTTTACGGATGCTCGAAAGACATCTGTTGCTATGTGTATCGTGTTTCATAAATCGGTGTTAAATGGTGCTTGTAAATGGGGTAACTAACTTCCTAACCCTTTCACTTCAATGTAGAAGCCAGAGAATTAGAAATCTTTGTATATAGGATATATTTTCATGGTATAAGATTCATTTTTATTTACAGCTTCATTTAGAGGCGCAATGGACGACAGTAGTTTGCGGACGCACACGTGACCAACTGGAAATGACGCAGGCCGCCCGGCGATTTCTCAGTAGCCATGGATACCTACCGTTGCGTCCTCGTTCTTTGAACTTTTGAGAATGCCTTTTTCTTTTGCAACCCTAGGAGCCCGGTCGCACTTCGTGGTACAAAAAATGCGACACTGAACTAGTCGTGATTAAAGCTAATGCGGCACTTCCGTTTAAGGAACATGGCCTTTTTTCTATCAGACAAAGGAAAGAAAAAAAAAGAAAGATAAATCTATTAGAAAATTTTTACAAGTCGTGCATGAGAGGCACGCGTTATACGTTGGAACATCTTTGCGAATGATGAACTGTGAATAGTATGTAGATGTACCGATGCATAACGCGTACCAGCCGTTGAATCTCTCTTTAAAAAGAAAGGAAGAACCACGGTGCAACCGAAATTGCATCTTTTAAAAGGAGAGGGAATGTCAGGCTTTATCAACTTTTCTTGGTAAAGACCAGAGAAATGACAACAAAGCAAAAGACACTTCTGCCTTTTTCCTGGATGATAGGAAGTTGCTACACAAAGTGAGATATGCATTTGAGAAAAAAAAAAATGATAATTGTTGAAAAGCAGTCACTTCCATCTGTGGTAAATCTTGCATACTCCTGGTAAAATATAAAAATATTAATGTCGATTATTTTTTTTAGAGAGCAGGAGAAGGCAACGTTTACATGAGTCAAATTCGCGTGTTGATCATGATGATATAATTTGTATTTTTGTATATCAGAATCACTTGTACAGTAGGGACCTCTTATCATCACTTTAGTAAGAACATTAAAAGAAAAGAATCTAAATAATAATAGCCGGTTTATTTGATACAATAGTATATATTATATAATATAAAACAAAAGCATTATTGCGGCCGTTATGTACAAAGAGCCTTTGTAACTGGTATTTAATTTACAACTGAATAATAAAGACGTGATGATAATCACACCAAAAAAGGTAACGTTGTGAACGTCCTTTCGAATTCTTGTATTATAATAATCCGTTTAAGAGAGTCACGTGCCTCCGAATGAAAATTTACCAGAGGCTTGTAATCGTGACTTAACGTAGTACGGTTCAATTTTTCCACATCTTTTATACTCGCGAGCCAATAATACTCAATGAAACGTGCTAATACATTAACACGGTAATGAACGATAGCTCAAAACATTCGTATCGTTACATTAGCATGTTACTTGGAATGCCATGGAATGGATAAAAGATACAAGTGCTATTAATGTTTATCACCAGCTAATACGCTTATTACTGAACAATGAGAAAAGCCCATCAAAATGTTTCATGATCGTTGAAGTATACTGAAAGCGCCTAATTTTTTTTTTTTTTCAATTGAGCTTCAATATAGTTTCATTATTTTATTTTTTTTATTTTTTGAAACGCCCCTTCTACGATTTTGTCGCACGAAGACAGACGTTCATGTTGTACTTGGATTCAAATGATAATTTTTTTTTGTCTAAAAAGTATACTCTACAAGATCATCTAGTAATACAAACTGGACACGAATGAGATATAATTATGAGCGAATTGGCGAGCGTCGTAACGTAACTCTAAGGCTCCTTCTATACACGCGTTTGTTACATATACATACTTAAATGTCATATGGAATGCAGGGTTCTTGATGAAACCTCATACAAAAGGCAAATTAAAAATTGCATTATAATATTAAATACGAAGTTACCAATTATACTGCATTCTCTATTGGTTTCACTTATTTTAAACATTAACCCATATTAGAGTATAATTTACTTTCTCTCTCTTAACCGCTTAATTATCCGATTAATTTTAAAGAAAAATACTGTTTTCAGCTTATTTCACTTATACTACATATTCCTCTGAATGTTTGAGCAGTTTCAAAATGAATGAAAATCAATACCTTTGATTTACTTTATACATATACGAATAACCAATGGTCGATACGACATAAAATGCGTTAGATTTGCTAAAAAGATTAGAAGAAATTTGCTTTGAAGGAAAGGAATCCAGTTTCAACTTTGCTCACTGTATAAGTTTATACTAAATGATTACCTTATTCGTTATAACAAATGAAGGCCAATTAACGTGTTAAAAGTATTGATTTCTTCCTCGCAAAATTCAGCGCGCATTTTGAAACACGTGCACGAAAAGAGACTTAAAAATATACGTAGAATATTACAAAGTACACATTAACGAATACGTTTCAATTCACAATAACACGGTGGTAATGCCCGATAAGATTCGATAGATGAATGTCGAAGCCTGATTGTATCTCTTCTTTATCTTCTATTTCATTTTAACGATACGAATTTTCTTCGTAAATGGTCACAAAAATCGTGTCAAGTATCAGCTACGTCACCCAACTATCTGAGATTCCCCCGCGCACTTTTTTTTTTTTTATGCAAAAAACGTTCACACCAAGAAGTGACTCGAGTGATCCTTGACTAGATGGCGATCTTTTCGAAAATTGCGCGTACAATTCGTAAACGAATAGAATGCGGCTTATTATTAATAATCTCATTGTTGTCTATATCTCTACGTATAGCTGCAATAATAATTATGATATTTGGGGGGGAAACTATGCGTAGTAAGATACTATAGAGGAACTCTTAGCTGTCGAGTACTATAGCTAATAAGAGGGATTCTTCTTTCATTTTCTTTTTCCTTTTTGACTAGCACTACCGGTACATATTGATCGATTAGCATTTACGAAAAGATTGCATCGAAAGAAAGTCACGCATCCTGAAATGTAAGGATCTATGTATACATATATAATTATATGTTATTATTTAAAACAGCGCGAGAAGAATTTTAGGAAATGGGTGACACTGCGCTCATTGCGCCACCAATCGGTAAAAAATATCGAAACAAAAATATCGATAACATTGCCTTACTGCGTTTACATCTCGAATTTACTAATATTGTGTTATGCAAAAATTTAAACTTCATGATCAGAAGGTTTTTATACTTCGTTCGTTAACCACAGAAAGTTCATTTTATATTAATATTTGAAATTAAACGTTTCATCTATGCTGGCGTTGTAACGCGACTATTATTAACCTTAATTTTCGGTGTTTCACAATAATTGCATCGGTGAGGCGCTGATCAGAATCAGTCGCTACGTTCAGCCTCCTAACAAAAACAACGTCTATAAAAAGTCTGAAAACAATTAACAAAGACGTAAAAATTCACTAAAAACAATAAAGAGGTATAACGCCAAAAAGGCTTTTTTTCTACTGTCTTTTTTAAAAACGCTCGATAGCGACACTTTCTTGGGAATGATTGTGCATCATCTTTTTCCCTTTTGCTTTAATACTCGATCTCTAGCGCTTTGCGATCTTATTATTATTCCTTCGCCGTCCGTATCGTTGACACCGGTTCTTTAGTCCAGCGTATCAGGATCTGCTAAACAATTTTTCGAGAGGACATTCGAAATTGTACAATAATTTCCAAAAGAAGGTAAGAACATACGTTAACGATTGATAATTAATATTTACCTGGAGAGGGAGATCCTTTGACTCTACAAGTGTTGTAACTTCCACAATTCAAGCATTTCAAACCTACAACGTGGAATTTTACCGTTGATTCCTGAAACGTTTGAGAATAAATGAATCAATTTTAAATTATCGATGTTTGACGATTTAACAAAACGCCACGGGAACGAAATCTTACCTCGTGACAGTCTTTGCACAGAATATCAACCTTGTAGTCCCTGTACTCCTCTGGCATTGGCGTTGACGACACCTCTATGTCCAAAAATCTCCACAAGTCAGTCATATCTAAAAGGGATACTTGGCAAATGGGACACGCGTAATGCCCTGAGTGTAACAATTCCTCGAAACATGTACGATGGAGCAAATGACCACAGTTTGGAATGTGACAAGGTATACGGCTTGTGTGAATATCCTCCAGACATACAGGACAATTTGCATGCGACACGTTTTCGACGCACTGAAAGAAAATTAAAGGAAAACGTAACTCGATCAAGATTACAAACGTGTAACCGAGCATTTTATTTGATATTTCGTAACTAGTTACTTACCGTGTGTCCATTTTGTAACTGGACAGGCAAACACATGTTGCACTTGGCACAGTGAAAAAATCGGTCGCGGCCACCGACTCTGCATATTCCACAGCCGTCACAATGATACTGATTCTTGTCTTCATCGTCAAATAGATTACATTCGAGACACGTGTATTTACCAAATCGACAGTGACAGTTTTGGCAAGTGGCTTGCACCGGTTGACGGGTATCGCACAGCACGCATATCAGCTCCGTCACTTCCTTTCTGTTTACCGTGTGGGTTTCTTCTTTGTCGTGGCAAAATCGGCATGTGTATACCTTGTTGCAACACGGTGTCTGAAAAAAGAGACCAAAGCAAATATTAAAGTTAGAATTGAAATTTTTCAAATTCGTCTTCGAACACCTCAGTAATATTCCTTCGACGATCCTTGTACACTTTAGGAAAGAAAAGGCCATAGATAATAATCCAATTAGCCCTCGTATGAATTCGTCCTTGATCCTTAACCCTTTCGATGCAGACAAGCGTTTATAAGCCTTCGGCAAATCTGTTCGACTCGTGCAGTGAACGCATATTGGCATGCGGAGGACGCAATAACGTGCCCACCATTCAAGATACTCTGCACGTAGCGTACATCTTACAGTATCGAAAAGATTAATGGCACGAATCAATTATAGAAAAATGTAGTTGCACTCGATATCTGGAAATTTTTCCATTACGATCTCTATCGATTCTTCCAAATTTTTCCGCGCAATAATAATCATTTAATTAACATTCGTAACAAATTCAATTTTGCACGAGTAGTAGTCATAGCCTACGATATAAAATAAGATATGTAATCAATTGTAATCAGGATAATATTGGGTTTCTATTAGATAGCGCAACATAGCGTAACATTCGAGGCCTACATTCGAAGCCACGTGCTCCTACAGAATTCCAATGTCCGCCCAAGTCATTAACGTTAAGTGAATTGCTCTTATTTTTTAAATTCAGAAAATAAACATGGAATCATTGAATGGATAGTGATCTTTTCTATTTATTAATTGATGGTAAATTATACCGAATTCCTACTTTACCGATCGGGTAAAACTGAAAACGTTTGCACATTGTATAATTTTGTCAACAGACAGTTGTTGAAATACCATTTGTTTCTCCAGATGCTACTTATTTATGGTGTTCTTCTTTTCGACAATATTTGAGGAACAAAGATTTCAGCGTCTTATCTTGATACATTCAAGTAAACAAGGTAAAACGCGCAAGCAGGAAATCGAACGATCGATGCATATTCCTTCCCGATGATGATTGAATATTTATCAGGTATACGATCGATGAAAAAAAAAGAAACCGGAATTATGACTTTTTCTTTTTTTCGAATAACGTAGAAGTGGTGGTGGCTGAAACACGACATTTGACTTATCGCGGCAATTGGTAGCAACACTTTGAAAGAGGGCGTCTCGTTACACAACACACGGCTGAACTTCATCGATTTGTTTGCTGTGTCCATACACACGTACGCGAAACGCGCGTACATGTTTACATGCGGTAAGTAGAAAAGGCTCGTGTACGAACGATTTCGGCATCAGTTGTTAATTGTAAAACACCTACGCGTGCCGTTTATTTTAGAAACGTTTATACTATCGATTGTCCCGCAAGTTCAAGGATAGTCAGCAAGCTATCGAACTTCCTTTTTCGTTATTTCCGGCTTAACCAACAAATTTCTTTCAAATATACATTTTCCATCGCTTATCGGTTTCAGATCATACTATAACACAATGTATATAAATAAATAAATGTTAATTAGTAACCCTGTTAGTCGCAACGAAAGTGGCTTGATCAATTTCAAGTACATGTATGTATATTCACCAAAGCAATGCAACGCGAATTAATATAATGAACTGTCAACTGATGACGTACGTTACAGCGATTTAGCAGCCAAATTAATCATTTATACGAAGAACAATCATTAACGCTCGTTGCATTGTTATGAGAGTGGTTGAATCGAATTACATATTTCAATGAATACATATTTATGAAATGACCAGACGATATCCGGGGGAAAAATCGAGGGTTAACGAGATTAATCAATGTCACACCGTTCTTCTTGACAAGTTTGAAAAAATGGTTGACGCGGATGAAGCCGTAAGAGAAGCGAGAAAGGATTAACGAAGAGCCGGAAAAAACGTTTGGTGATTTCGAAACGTACGAATTGATCACTAGATATCTGCGTGATCGAAGTCGAAAACAGAGGCGCTCTTGACGTGCACGTAGCCGATAGGCGTAGGAATAAAAAGGCTCACCACGAACTTCGACTTTCGCTTGTAATGCTCACAGCCGTAATCATCGTCAGCGGTTGCTTCTAGAGGTTCCTCCTTTGACGTCGACGCACGTTCAGCCACGGTGCGCGCTTCGTCGTTATTCTCCATATCTCGCGTTGATCCTAAGTTCCTGCCTCTTTCTCCTCCGCCGCCTCCTTCTTCTCATCGACTCGCACGTCCTTTCCAGATTTTCTTGCAGCGTGTCCGATTAACACCGCTGGCCCACAGTTTGTTTGTTTAATTAACACGCTGGCGGCGATTCAAAAACGGCGGAAAAAGAAGAGCATCGGTGTACGTCGAACGTTTGGATCACGCGCCGAATATGAGCAGGCCAGGTGTATCGTTTCCGTGATACGTCAACCCGAACTGACAGGAAACGTCTCCAATCTCGTGTGTCCGCTTGCGAGGATAAAATACAATCGAGCCATCGTGGGCAAAGCTGCGTACAACGCTACTCTCTATAATTTGTGGACGTTTCGAAAAACGAATCTCACGATTCGTTCCAAGGTAATCGCGGGATATTTCCTTATCCGTCTGATCTAAAAAAACAATTACGCACCGTTTTGGACGTACACGAAACGATATACTCTGACGAAACGACACTTTTTCGATGATTTTCAGAGAAAAGCTCTCAACAATCGCCACTTTTAACTACTTCACTTCGTTGTACTATCACCACGGTGTAATGATTACAATGGCAGACGATGTACGGAAAAAATGATGTAAAAGTACAGCCGGAAGTTGCGACGATGCGACGAACTATTGCGTCGAGCTACCACGTAAACCCCCGAGGACGCTCGGTGTCACTCTAGGGAAAATGGCGGTAAGCAAGCGCGGCGGGGAAAGGTGTTCACACTGGGTATACCCAGAGTTAGCAGGCATTATGCCTAATCCACAGGAAACACTTTTGTATTCGGAGGCCGAACTCCGAATTCCGCGTCGGTAAAACAGTCAACGTTTCATCGAAAAATAGGAATCTGACACTCTTCCGCCCGCTCCTCTAGGGGTCGGTGGGGGGTCTTATGCAAGATTTCCCCATGTTAAAAAAAAAAAACTCCTGTACATCTCTGCTTTCCTTACATTCCTGCATTACTTACATCTCTGCATTCCTTACATCCCTGCATCCCTTACATCCCTAAATCATTTACATTTCTGCTTTCCTTACATTCCTGCATCCCTTACATCTCTGCATTCCTTACATCCCTTACATCCCTAAATCACTTACATCTCGACTTTCCTTACATTCCTGCATCCTTTACATCTCTGCATTCCTTACATCCCTGCATCCCTTACATTCCTAAATCACTTACATCACTGCATCCTTTTACATCCTTGCATCCTTTTTGTAAGCATCCCATCATAGCGCCTCCTGGCGGTAAAAAAGGAACTAAACTGTGCAAGAATTTTGCCCTCTAGCGGCAAAAATGTGAACTAAATTTTCGACGGCGGATCAGCACCATCTGGTTTCGGAAAAAGGAACTAAACCTTGCACCATTTCTGTCCCTCTGGCGGCAAAAATGTGAACTAAATTCTCGACGTCGAATCAGCGCCATCTGGTTTCGGAAAAAGGAACTAAACCTTGCACTATTTCTGGCCCTCTGGCGGCAAAAATGCGAACTAAATTCTCGACGTCGAATCAGCGCCGTCTGGTTTCGGAAAAAGGAACTAAACCTTGCAAGAATTTTGGCCCTCTAGCAGTAAAAATGTGAATTAAATTTTCGACGTCGGATCAGCGCCCTCTGGCGGTAAAAAAAGGAACTAAATTTTGCAAAAATTTAAATTTAAAATTATTTTTCACGAGACTTTACTTACCTTTACTTACCTTTAATCGAACCAGTGGCCATAAGTATATTATTTATAATATATTTATTATAAGGGTTGAAAGGATACAAGTGATGCAGGGAGAATTCAGGAGTGTAAGGGATACAGAGATATAAAGGGTACAGAGATGTAAGGGATGCCGAGGTATAAGGAATGCTGGCATATACGAGATGCAGGAATATAGGGAATGTAGTGATATAAGGGATATAGGGATATTAAGGATGCAGACATGTAAGGGATGCAGTGATAAAAGGTTGGGTCTCGTGATGCCCTTAAAGACAAAAAAATAATAAATAACTGGGAAGGTTGAGCCGAGGCCCATGAAGAGGGATAAAATAATAAATGACTTGGGAGGGTGGTCCACGCGAGGCCTGAAAATAGGGGTAAAATAATAAATAAAAGAATAAAATAATAGGCGAGGCACACAGATGTAATAGAATCAACACGTTCATGCTCTTAATGAGTTTATTCAATAAGCTAAGAAGATAGTCACAGCAAATCTTTCCTTTTAATAACGCGAGAACATGTCTGTGAGTGACACTGAGACGTTGTACGCATGCTCGAAAACAAGGCAGAAAAATGTTATATGTGTATTCTTACAATGATAGTACAGTAAAACGTGTTAAAAAGGACATCTTAAAACATTTAACGGATACATAAAAACTAATTACGTCATCATTTAGAATGGTCGGTCGGGGTTTTCTTGGTTAACTTTCTTTGTAAAAATTTAGTTCAGATTCTGAAGTGTATCACATTGCAAATACAATTTTACGGAAAGAAAATTAATAATAATGAATGCATGGTCAGCATTGTTTAATTATGTACTTATACATATAGCTATCGTAGTATACACGTGTCATTTAGCTGCATGCGAAAGGTGACGTAGTATACCAGTGACTACAGATATAAGAAGACTGGACATGCCTTTGTTCTCAAGGGGTCATGATTTTGGGATTCTAGGCACCCCCAGGTGAAGCAGGTCTACATGTAGGAGCACAGTCGGTAAGATAATCGTGCCTGTTTTATCAGGCATGTTCTCCTGCTTTGGAAAAGTAGTCGATATATGGCTGAGCAGTTTCCGCCGCCTTTGTGTAGATGACGCATTTACTATAGCAATTGTGATTAACATTTTCATTCGTAAGCTAATTGTAAAATGTTGAAATAAACACTCTTAACTCTTCAGCGTCTAAAGATGAACTGACCTGCCTCAGTGCAAAACGAATAATTATATTTTTAATCTTTATCCTAGTGATTTTAACGAGGCTATAGTGTCAGTCCTAATAACCTGCCTGTAATGATCACTATAATGAATGGAAAGTTTTGATAACATTTTAGAGATATTGTGATTTTCCTTTAAAATCTTTGAAATCGTATTGTTTAAAACTAATTATATATTTGCTTATTTATTCGGGCCTAATAATATCTAAACAACAGTCGGTTCGTCGGTTGGTAAGACTGAATTTATATCAAGTGCGATCTTACTAAAAATTTACAAATTTTCTGCAATATTTTGTATATTTACAACGTTTAAAACATATATTTCAATATGTTATTTGTCAAACAACTATCAACAATAACAATGTCATGAATAATAATATAAATTTGTGAATAATATTCGAATATTTAATGAATTACATATTTGTGAATAATTTATGTATGGTATCACTGAAGAACAAATAAACTTATGTGAATTCATTTTTTTATAGTATGTATTTTGGATCGTAATAGAAACTTTAATATTCTTCGCAACAAAACTATTCTAATAATGTGATTTGTTACGACACTGCCTACCGTAACATCAATATTGTATCAATCATTCTATCAATACACAAATCTGCACCTATAACCTGAGTCTTTTTCTTTCTAAACTATACGAGCAAGTGAATCAAATCCTGCAACAATAATCCTAACATTCAAAATGCCTAACGCTTTTAAAAATTGCGTTACATTGAATATTACTTTTGCGTTGGAGTGGTAATAAAAACTGTGCTTAAAAAATCGTTCATATATGTATATTATTTGGGAGGGAGTATCACGCATGCGTTGGTGGAGCTTATGGGACGGACGTAGAGGACGTATGCGAGCAGTTTGTCGTAGAACGAAAAAGAGGAAACGACAGATGAGAAAGTAAGAGAGATCTCCGCGCAGAAAATTAAGCAGAAGACAGTGGCAGCCATTTTTCCCTGACATTGCCGTTTCTGCGGCTCCGTGGTGCTAATTGTCATTATTACTTAAACGATTTTTAAGGCGGAGCAGTAAAAAGAGGTACGGTGGCAGTAGAGGATTGCGGTGTTGTTGTGCACACCGAGATATAAAAATAAGAGCGGTGCTAGATAACGATAAGAGGAATATAGAGACGTCAATGGTACGGCGTGGCTCGAAGTGACGAAGTGCGTGTGTAAACGATCCGCACAGAAAGTAGTGGGGCTCGATCATAGTTGGCTGAGTGGACAGGCGAAAAGGAGGAGCTGCCGACAAACGGGAAGGGTGTTACAGGAGACGACAGCGACGGCAACGGTGACGACAACGACGAACACGACGACAACGACGGCTACGCTACGACAACGGCAACGATCGCGGAAACGGAGTTACGATAGCCCAGCCTAGGTGGCCCTATTTTTTGGTTTCTTCCTTAGAAACCCTGTTCAATCGGAATCGTTAGTATATTGTGCACAGTGCACACGATCACGCGCCACCGCGTACATCAGCGCCACGAGATGGAGAGGCGAGCTGCTTTTGTGCTGCTGGGGATGCTATATTTAGCGGGCACCCTCGTCACGGTCCAGGCAGGTGAGACTTATCCTCTCTTTCGGATTGCCCACTATTCAACCATTCATTTATTTCTCTCTCATTCTCTGTTTTCTCTTCTTTATCATGTTAGCCCCATTGTTAAAGTTCTGCTTCGTGTTACTTTCATTTCAAACAAAATCAATTTACAGAATGTCCCTTTTTCATTTTTATTTTTACTGAATCTTAATTGCATTGCCACGACTTTCGAGGCCATGCTTATGATTAAGAAACATGTTGGATTCTAATCAGATCTTATTCCTAGAGAAACACCTATCCGATTTTAATTCATCGCTATTTTCCTTCTTCCTTCAACGTTTTTCAACGATGATACGATTTTCCTGACGCAATGTCCATTTTCGAAGTTACACACACGCTGGTCTGTCAGTTCGAAGAAAGCCGTCAGTACTGTGACGTACATGTCACATGGTACCCTAAATGCATCGTTCATCGTCCGTATTTTAACTTTGAACATGGTTATCTTATCGAACTCCAGTTCTCGTGCATAGGAAATACATGATAATCATTCCAAATTCGATTCGAAAATTCGCTAGTTTCCCTATACGATACTGTCGACATATGTTGACAAATTATGAAATTCTATTTTTAGTTTCGATTATACCGCATCACGTTAGAAATGCGAGTGTCCTCGCGCGGTATTGAATACGTGATGCTATCAACCCATTTTCAACCGTGCCGTTTTCGCGAATCGCATGAATATTTCTGCGAGGATAACGTGAAGTGATTCTTTAAACAACAAAATTCTGATTCGCAATATCCTACCCCGGTTTGATTGTCACCGTATATATAGCTTACGGTGTTCGATCGAACGCGATATATACGGTACTGAACGTATCACGTGTGCCGCAACCAACCGCCTTGTTCCCATATTCGTTATCTTCTTCAAAACTGTTTTATTATTTGGTAACAATTGCAACGACAATTTATTAGAAGAAATGGAGTTAAGTTTTCTTACGATATGCTCAACGATATTGATCCAACGTGTCATTAAAAGTCGTACGCACAGTTCTGACATGTGCGTCTACGAACTACTGTGATGTCGGCCGAATTTTGAACCTCCTGATCACTCGAATTGCGCACCTCTGGTTTATATACCGACGCAAGACACCGGGATTCGATGCTACAGCTACATTCCGAGAGACGTACGCAAAGTACCCACGCCAAGCAACTTTTGTTGTGTAACAATTGACCCTGTTTTGCGTCCACCCAGAAAACTTTACCGACTTTTAGCGATCGTTAGGCAGAAGTTGATGTTCGGTCGGTAATTATGTAAATCCGCGAAATTTTTACGCCAAGCACTGCTATCGATTAGTGTACGGCTCAAGGATACGTTTTAGATAATGTAGGTACTCAAAGACGCTCCTAGCACTGAGCAGGTGGGGCACTATCGCCATTTTGTAAAAATTATTCGAATCGAAAATATAGAAAAGTGAGAATGCTTTAAAACTTTGTCCGAAGGAACGTGCATCATGTGAAAATGTGTCGCGTGAAAAGATTTCAAGCGTTCGTTAGAATACTTATATTTAGACCGAGGAGTCTACGAATATAATTTCCATTTTGTTCACGTCGTGTTTATGGGATTGGGCGGAGACATTACACGCGTATAATCATAGGATCGTAAACCCATTTTTTTCTTTTTTTTAATATAGGACATATAGAAAATAAATTCGAATTTAATTTAAAGAAATTTCTATCGAGATTAGCACGTGTGTCTTCGTCATTTATATTCTTAGCTGGCATGCCTGTTTATTGAAATGTAAACTTAACCTCCATTCTCTAACACGGTGAATGTTTTCGTCCGCTCTGTTTTACCGTCGCTCGCAAACCAGACGAGAAGAATGCTTACGTTTAACCCTGGGAACGCGTGTCTATTTTTGACCCTTCAGCGTGTACCATAGAATAATGCAACGATAGTAACGCCATGCAAAATTTTAGACCTTAATGTTTCATACATAGTGAGTGATTCGACTAGAAAATCCTAAAGGAATTACGGAGTAAATATCTCGATATCCGTTATTCGAGATATCGGGTATGACTGCGCCGATCGATTTCGAATACGTTTTTCGCCGAGTTCGCTATTCTACGTCCCCTGTGTACAGACACGAACGGTTTTGTGTGCTTCGATTGCCTGCTTTCTTACATTATCTTGCTGATATGCAACCATTACACCAGCGAATAGTTTGACCCTCGTTTGAACTAACTAGGCTAACGCGTTTTCGGTTTACTTGTCCCGCGGTATGTCGGTTACAAGAATTACTTTATGCATCACCGAAATAAATTCATTAGAGTATCTTTAGTTGATTACATAACACCGTTCGCCGGCCGAACGGGCTAAAACTTTTGTCCGTCTTTTTGTATTCTAGGTCTGGGTTAGGTCTAGGTTAGAACTGGTTTCAAATACGAGTACCAGTGCATGGATAACAAATACGCAATCAATGGAGATTAGTAGACTCATTGAAAGGTCTACCTTTCGCAAAGGTCGCTCAATAATTTGAATGTAGTTTTTTGGCTAAATGAATGTGAAAACTAACCTCAAAATCAAACGAGGACTCGCAATTTCTTACGTATTACTCATAATTCGAAGAATGTCCAGCTAAGAAGTAAACAATGCGCTATCGTTAATTTATTAGTCGTTCTAGGAACAATAACGCTGCAATCTGAGAAAACTCGCGTTGTGATGAGTTTAGAGACGTTTTTCCTTCACCGATAAAGTGTGAAATGTAGTTAGTTATGGTGAATCATATCCTCAAATAATGGCCGACCTTTGTTACGATCGCTGGCAAATGTATCGTGACGTATATTAACTAGTATGCCCAGTATTGTGGCGTAGCGATGTAAATTTACCTATTCGTCATCGAAACGCTTAATGCCTCACGCAATCTTATTACCCTGTTATTTACCACTCCTCGAAAATTAAAAGCAGTTATCTGATGGGTTCAAAAGCCGAAAGTTATCTTTGCTTAGTCATTCATTCCAGAATCTTTCTTTCAGATTACTTAAATGTGTAAACGAGGGGATCCTGATGCATGTCGATTTTCTATACAAACCGTGTATAACCTGTATTTCGTTAGAATTTCTTTAACAGATATTTTCCAAATTCCACCGGTGTGTAGTTGTATAACTTTGGAACCTATAATCAATTATAAAAAAAAAAAAATGCACGTGTGTTAAGTCCGGTGTCATTTCAAATATACCGTATGAAGTTGTAGAAACCTAATGTGAACACCTGACCTAGAAGAGAATCATTGACACCAGTTTCGAAACGTAATAAAATTGATTTTCAAGCACATTATACGATCGATTCAGTTTTACTAAATTTCACCGAGTTTTAATCGAATTATTATTCCAATGATTCTAACCTCATTGTATCGAAATCTTATTGACGTTTCTAATAAAGTCGTAATAGGTTATTCTGATGCGGTTGCCGTAGGAACTAAAGGGAAAAAAATGGCGAGAAAACGAGGATTGTTCAATATCGTTTAACCGTGGAGGTTACCTGTTTATTCGATCTTAGCGATCAAATATAATACCGGCGCGTGACCACGTTCACAACTTGATAACCTCTCTTTGTACGTTTCTTTTTTTCCTTCAAATACCGACATATCGCATGTGTTTCGTTAGAAATATGTGTATGTGAGGTGGTTACAATGTACGTTGTACTCTCCCTCCTCAAAATGACGTAAGAGAAGCAGGATCTTTTATTGACTGACTGACGTAAACATACGTAAACACATATATATATATATATATATATATATATATATCGGTCCATCTTAAAAACTAGCTCTCATTGTTGGTACACGGTCGGCAAATTTTATCGCGCTTCGAATTTCCCAGCATTTATACTGTTAATCTTTTTTTAAGTTACAGATTGACAGTTATATCTGCGGTGGGTATATTCCACCACGAGTTATATTTCCAACCTTTATGTAAGAATAACAGTTTTCCTTGCGTGGTCAGCTAGCGCATTAAAATTCCGTCGAATTCTTTTTCCACCTTTAGACGAAGTGAAAGCGTTATGTATCGCGTTAAGAAAATTAAATGAACACACTTGACACTATTCTTTCTAACCTTTAACGTGAACCATTATACTAATCTGACCATTGCTATTTACTTTAGCCACTTGTCTACGATATCGGTTTTTAAGCGTTGTTGTTTGTCTTCGATTAGTATCTTATACTCAAGGATGAAAAGATTGTATCCAGAAGAACAAATTACTTAAGAAATTCGTGCGTTGGAAGGTACATCTTGAAGCTTTGAATCAATTTAACACAAATTATATCAGAATAATACCGTTCGCTCCTCCTCGAGTAATTTCATCTATCTCCTGAATTTATTGGGGCAGAAAAATTGTAACGTATTCCAATTGGAAAGTAGCGGTTTCCGATTGGCTCCACCCTTGTTTACATCAAACCGATAAGTTTATCAGTAGGTGCAGTGACCGGTTTTCAATTGACCCGTATTTGAAATTTGTTTATCTGGGAAAGCACACGAGCCAGCTTGAAAGGAAAATTAATAACACGTCGAAATTTGGACGCACGCAAAGTTACGGTAACGTAGATGGCGCCATCTACGCGCTCGACATTTTGGATCGTCTTAAAAACCCTATCGCTACAAATATTTCTTCTAGGATAATTAAAAACTAAAACGTATAATCGGATAAGTAATAAAAGGCAGATGAAAATGATCGACTTTTGGCGTCGTCAAGGGAAACGAAACGTGTTTACGAGCATTGGCTCCTCTGTCCACCATCACACGTGCAATTCCAACTTGCCAAATTGCGTCCTAGATCCAACGGGCGTTCTAATTCCTACGTCCTCCATCGTATTCTATATTTCTGTATAGAAATACCTCGAGCATTTTCGTACAATTCGAGAGGTTATACTGGACGATCCCGTTGCTACTGGACAATAGGCGGCGCTGCACAAGTTCCACTTCGGTCCACTTTCAGCCGGTTACTGAAACACAAAAACGTTATTACTTAGTATGATGCACTATAATTTTCTATAATTAAAAAAGGTGCAAATTTGTATATCACTGACAATGGTCAGTTGACGAATATTTCTTAGAGGTTTTGCGTGCTGAATGAAATGCACAAGCTGGCAGTCCCTATTCCACGCCCCTATATAGAGCATATGATTTAATATATAGATATTTCTGATGCTTAGGGTCATACGGCACGTGTTCGTCGCATTATCGATCTCTTTTCTATCCTACTTCGCGTTCTAGTATACTTTCAACTTCGTAAATCGCGTTCTAAACAGAACGGCCCAGTTCCACTCTTTACCTGTCTGTTCGTTTCACCAACCGCTGATGTGAAATTAATCCTGGACCGATTTTTAGCGCGCCCTAAGCGTCGAGGATGCGGAAATTTTCTTGTAAAATCATCATCGTTAACCGTACGCGATAGATGTGTTTAGAGGAAACTTTAAAGATAGCCAGAAGGCTTGATCAAAATCCAAGCAAATATTTAAAGTCTAAACGATCATCGATCGAGCTGTTGGTATCGTTCGCGGTGTATTCTTAAATCGCTTAAGGCAGGAAAGGCAGAAGCCATCAGCCACTTTATAGGTCAGCCGACGTGTTCGTGATTATCAATCCCTTTTCTTCGGCCTGCATGCATTATAATTTCATCTGGTCGAGTTGGTGTACACGAGGACACGACAGGGTTCTCTATGTAAAAGAATAAACCGCTAAAAATAAGTATGATAGAGCATGTACGTGTGTATCCTGACTACAAACGGAACTGGATTAACACGTTTGTCTGCGTTTAGCACCCGTTGCCTTCTATATTAACGTGATTGACTTTTTGGCGTCGCTTCGTTTTCCAACCTTATTTCTACGGCTTAGGATCGGCACGAAAGTTCTATTTTCTACTGAAATTAAACTCGACAATTGTCGTTATAGCGCTTGCGAATGCATAGCACTATGGGGACAACGTAGGCGGCTTCCTTTGGTTAACAGTTGAGGATTAATTATGGGAAGCCTGAATCGCGTACGACCATACCGATCAAGTAATTCGAAGCATTTGCGAAAGATAAATGTTTACTGCCATGCTACCATATTACGTCACCGGTCTGATAATCGAGAAACCCTAAAATCGAATCCCGGTCAACCGAGGTCTCACCTGGTTCGTTCGAAAAGTTTCGTGCCACGGCTGGTTAGCTGGTAATTGAGTTCGCGCTTAACGTGCACGGTATCCAAAGGATTACCATGCGATGGTTGCGGTCACAGCGACTCTTTTATATGAAAGAGAAAGAAAAGGAAGGGAGCTATGAATGCCTTTCATTCAGGGTCTCTTAGGTGGACTCATTCATAAGGTTACCTGGCAGGCACGTGTTTGAGATTAATCTTAAAGAGAATGATTACCGCCTTGATGCGCCTCGTGTGTCCCTAATTGATTCAGAAAAGAAAAAGCCTTTATGTACGACCCATCAATGAGCGTTAGTCTTTTTCTGACTAATTTTAGCGGTAGTCGTGTCAGGGGATGCATGTGTCAAATAGTTGGACGGGTATTTGTGAGAAAATTGGTATTAGAATGATCCACCTGGTGGCGAATGCGGGTACTGTACTGGTCGCCATGACGCAGGCAGGTCGTAAGATCCTTCGCAATTCATATACACAAAATCTTAAAACAGAACACACCGCTTCCTGAAGGTACAAGTTACGACCTCCCCTGCAACATGGCGGCTATTATATCAGTATAATCACCTCCATCTCTAACACCCTGCACTCGTGTATAATCGAATCCTAGTGGAAACCAGATACCCAGAATCCATCCACCCACAGGCTCCCCTGTATCTCCGTCGTTGTAAACCTCTTGACGTGTGCTCGTATGTTCTTCCCGATAAAGTAACCTACAAGGGGTTGGCGTCGATCGTGCACGAGGGCCAGCCTTGGTGGATCGAGTGCAAAGACCTGAAGCCGGACGATCTGATTAGATGGACGAGAAACGGGCAGTCGCTCGAGCCGGAATTGGCGAGTGGTCAGCTGGTCGTCCACTCGCCGGTCGGCACCGGAAGCAGCACGCTGACGGCGATGCACGCGACGGATAGCCACGACGGAGACTACAAGTGCACCCCGGATAGCAGCGAGGTCTTCCACTTGTGGATATATGTCGGTTCGTATGCCGAGCTCCTCAACGGCCCGCTCTTTAACCACGTTTGCTTAAGCACGTTCTATTTATGTTCGATACCTTTTAGTTTTGTCGCACGTTTGTACCCCGTACGAGGAGATGCTTCTGTTGCATGCATTTGGCTTGAGAATTGGAGACTCGATGCAAAGTCTGGAATCACAGAATAGGCGCAATCGTGTTAGAGAGGATCCTTCACAGAAATGTTACATTGGTAGAGTGTATAATAGAGCAAGTACATTGGGGGTATGGTAGAAGATTAATGCTTTATCACGCTCTACGAACGCCTAGTTTTCAATCTGAGTTACATTGGTAGAGCAGTTTTAACGCTAGTTTAGTGGAGTAGTGGGAGAAGGCTAGTGACAAAATTACTCTACCACGATTGCTATCCAACTCTACTCTATCATCAACCGGCTTTTAGCTAGGTTAGTGGCAGGGTGTACTAGAGCACTACTAGGAAACTACCGAGAAGTTGTAGTTGGTAAAGTACTAAATATGATATCTAGGCTCTAGTGTTCCACTGGCATTAGAATATTCTATCAATGTAACCTGGGACTTAAAGGACAACACCGGAATACAGTCTGCCCCAAATTGTTGGGCCCCTCGAGCCTACCGGGCAGTTCCCCCTACCATGACTCCAGTAGGCACCGCCCAGGGCTCCCCACTTCTATTATACAAGTATGCAATCGGTGAAAAAGAAAGAACTGCATTATCTGTGATTTCAGACTTGGCTTTCTTAGAATGTTTAAGCTGTCTTAGGGCATTTATTGACTAAAGATCAAAGTCCCCCCACTTAGAAGATAATCGCTGTTCAATTCACTGCTGCTCGTTGCTTGTATATGGTGCAGAATTTTTTCAATTATCCGTGATTAAATCCTTTTCTGATAAGGCGTTATCGAACAGCGAAAGTGTCAACGATTATACCGTGTCAGCATGAAGCTTCGCGTACGCCATTTCTTGGCGAACGTTTCTCGTTCTCTTCGATGACGCGTCAGGCTCGAACGCTTATCTAGTTACGCGAATGTAAATGGTAATTAATATCTATTATGTGGGCTTGAGTTGGAACCACGTGAAATAAAACAATCACTCGAGAAGAATTATTATACGCTCAAAGAATGTTCGTTACTAATCCAGAGAGATTCTCCTACTCGATAACGATCGTTTTTTCGCTGCGTAAGGAGGAAATAAATTCGTTTTCCACGAAGAATGTGGTATATGCTTTCGAGCAACGAGGAAAATACATTTAACGTGATGTAATTCGCGTTGCCGTTGTTTATGCTTCTCGTTTGTAATCACTGTAGCTGGTTATTTAGGACTGTTATCAACGAGAAATGTGCTTCCTCATAAACAGAAGGAAGATAGAGCTTATGTGAAGCCTTGAAGATGTTATGTTTGTTCTTACGACAAATTTACGCGATTAGTTAATGAAACAGCGCGTACGGTAATTTTGCAATTGATAGGAAGAACTTCTTGGAATTTGAGACTTAGAAGAAATATCTAGACAATTATTTTGCTTGACTTCAAAGAACTTAGATTTTTTAAGAAACAACGATCAAACTTTAGAACTATAAATTGTGTTAATCAGGTAGAACAAGTATGACGTTGTACTTTATTCGCAAAGGTGATAAGTCTATCCCTGTATCGCTATTATTACACGTTTGACAGATAACAGTGATCTCAAGTTTCCTGATAAGAACAATGTTGAAGATAAGAAACGTAAGAGAATTCTGAGTAGCTAGATGCTTCTAAAAAAATACGTTATATAATTGCAGTACGTATAATTGAATGAAGAAACTATGCTAATATAGGATTTGCAAAACTTTTGTACGATGGAGTGCAATTTAGACTTCCTTAGTCAAGAGGAATTATATTCTTTCCCCTAGGGTCTCCTTAGACCAGGACTTGGAATTAGCTGTTCTTTTCTTCTAGTTTTCAGAGGCCCTACCCCTTTCCTCCCACCGCTTGCCGTGCCCCGAGCGAGGGCCTTAGTCCTCGAGGCACATCAGGCGTATGCCGTATGAATCGTACCCCATGGATGATGTGGAAACCTATTGACACGAGTGTGGCCCCAATGTGCTCTGAAAAGTTCATATGGCACACGCCTGAGGTGCCTCGTGGGCTAAGACCTTCGGGCGGAGCACGGCGCGCGGTGGGAGGAAAGGGGTAGGTCCTCTGAAAACTAAAAGGCAAGTGGCCTCTTCCCTATACTGTATCCCTTAACCGAGAGAAGCCTACATTGCACCCGAGTGTACAGCAATTTCCTGTCCCATCGAGGATCCTAAGCGGTTAACATAACTCGTTCTCCTTTGATACAGACATCAAGATTAAAGTACTTACACCGAAGGATGCGCCTATGACACTGGAGTGTGGAAACAGAACTGCCGGTGAGAAGTTCCAATGGTTCAAAGAAAACGTTCCGCTACACACAGCCGTGGCTGATAGCGAGGAGCTGTTCGAGTTGGACAACGACAACGGTACTCTGGAGCTTCTGAAGAGTACAGAAGTGTTGTACGGAAATTACAGTTGCAAAGGATCTAACTCCTCCACAGAATACAGGATCGTATGTGAGTATCCAATGTGGATCGTCGTCTTTTGCGATATCCTATCGATAATTAATACATTTGTTTTTTTTTTTTATTTTTAGCAAAACCCACGGCACACTTGCCCGATTCGACGAGCGTGGTGGAAGGAGAGAAGCTGCATTTAGTTTGCGCCGGTAAACAGAGTCCTGGCATTAAAGTATCCTGGACGTTTGGTGATCAGAATTACACGCGCAGCAAGGGCCGCGTGAAGCTTGGACGGGACCAGGAAAGAGGCATCTACGGCGCGGTTCTAATCGTCGAGAACATCGAAATGAACGATCGTGGCAGCGTGTACTGCAGGGTATCTTACAATTGGTCCGACACCGCCGAGGATCACATAGCAGAGGCCCAAACATTCCTTAGGGTCAAAGACAAGCTTGCCGCACTCTGGCCCTTCTTAGGCATTTGCGCGGAGGTCGTTGTTCTGTGCGCCATCATTCTAATTTACGAGAAGAAACGAAACAAGGCTGAACTCGAAGAATCCGATACGGATCAGAGTCCTGACACGTACGTACCATTTTTCTCTTCTCCCTATCATTCGTGTCGTTTTTTAATGTGAATCATTTTAAAACTGTAGAGAACCAAGCACAAAGGACGACAGATTGGAGTATTACATTCCATTACGAGGACCTATTCCACCCTCCGACCTTCCTGTCGATCCTCCTCCAGTAGTTACACCACCTACACCAGAAACTGTAGACGAGGGGAGCGATCGGTTAAACTCCTCGTCTCCTGCTTCCACTCCGCAACGCATATTATCCGCCCCTGCTCAATTGACTTTGTCTCGTTATCGCTTTGCCACTTTCCCGCTGATATCGTGTCGTCGTTTTTGGAACTACGCTCAGAGAGAATATTTTCGAAGTAAAGAAACTCGTGCTGAGCCTGCATCTAGTCTGCAGGATATATGTTAGAAATAGAAACGGCCAGGGTTACTGTCTAGGTTACTATTTATGATCTCCTATTTTAGTTTAAGTGTAAATACCCAAACACTCCAAGAATCTTTGAATATCCATTGACTATTTCACTACTGTGATTTTATATATCTGACAAATATGTCCTTCATCTGATCACCCTTGCCATTCTTTCTCTTCACTGGTCAATTTGATCCTGTTCAATCATTATGAATTTTATCCTGCAGCAAGCCAACGCCCAACAAGGATTCCGACGTTAGGCAGAGAAAGTGAAGCAACGAAGAAAAAGCGGCGGATGAGTGAGAGCAGCGAGATGCAGGATAGCAGCAACGGATATGGAGAACGATCGTGGGCATCTGCCGGAGTGACAATACATAGCTGTACAAGAGAGATAAGGATGGATGGAAGCTGATCATAAAGTTTCCATTAACCACAGAAAGACATCGTTCGAGGATAACGAAATAAGAGATTAATCGATGTAAAGAAAGGGATTGATCGTTTTCAAAGTGAGGGACAGGGTGTGTAGCGCCTCTAATCGAGAGCCCCCAGCCAGGTACCCTTGTTCGTTTCACGAGTGAATACCTGCGTGAAGAAAACAGGCTTTGTCTGTGCACACAGAAAATGTACACGCACGCGTGGTATTACACAATTTACTAACAAATTTAAATTAAGCCTTACTATCGTGTTCACTTCATTTATCAGATGTTCGCCTGTCCGTTATCTCTATTACACTGCTTTGATCGACGATCGGAGGAGAAAGAAAAGTATAATATTATGTGCTCTGCTGATCTTTACGCGTTGTATGTGTCCTTCGAATGATGACGAGTGAGCGATTAAGCCGGATGAAGAGTAATGACGATGAAAAGAGATACCTAAAACGAAGAGAAAGGGCGTGAGAAAAATGAATGTACGTATGAGAATCTATGTGTGTATGTGTATGTAAGTTTGTGCATGCTTGCATGCGCTTGAATGACAGAATGCGATAGTGACGAAAAAAATGAATACAAAAAGAATATATAAAAAAAATAAATAAAATAGCCGGATCAGCATACCCGCCAAAAGCAATTTGAAACGAGCGGATTGAAAATTCGTTTCTCTCTGCTTGTAAGAAATATACACACACATATATATATATATATATTATAAATATATGCTATGTTCGAAAACGCATTTATTCGCTAACGTACTTTTTACGGTACTCTCTTTTTTTCCTCAAAAAAGGGTTGATA